TTGGAGGCGGTTGTTTCTTTCTCCCCTACCCCGCCCGCCGGCCCGTCCTCCGCCTCACTCACCTTGGGCTCCCCGGTGGCCCCCAAGCACCAGCGCCAGCCCCAGGAACGCCAGTCCAACGGTCGGCGGGAGGGGGCGGCGAGCAGCGCAAGCCGAACCACCCGCCATGGTAACGGCCGAGCGGCGGCGGCGGCGGCAACGGACGCCTTGCTTCCCCCCTGCCTGACTCGGGCGAGACGGTTAACGACGGCGGCGGCAGCGGCCGCGCGAGACAAATCAGACACAAGAGGAGCGAGCAGGCGAGCGCGACGAGGGGGGAAGAGCCAGCCGGACTTAAAGGGGAGGTGGCTCTGGGGCTTAAAGCAGAGGAAGGTAGGCGGACGGGAAGAGAACGAGCCCGGAGGAACCGCCAGTTGTACGCCGACAGCAAATCAGAGTCGGCTGACAAAGGGGAGAGCGCGTGCGAGCGGCACGAGGAAGGAAGGCGCGCGCGCGCGATTGTTTGGGATGCGGGAAGGCGTGGGAGCCCCTCGCTTGGCAGGCAGGGCACGGCGGGGGCGGGGGCGGGGCCCGGGCGAGCCGAGGGGAGTCTATGCTTCCCTGAGCGCGTGCGGATGTATGTAAGGAGGTGTAGGGTGGCGGGTTGAGAGGGCGCGCCTGCGCAGGTGCCCTCTACGGCCGCACGGATTTGCAGGCGGGGAACGCAGGGTCGCGACACAGTTTCACGTGGCTGGTGCTGAGAAAAACCCTTTCCTCTGGCAGGAAGAAGATAAACAGGAGGCCGTGTCTTTGGTCCTATTCGCACACGCGTGTTCCTCCTTTGCAACTGCGGGAGGCCCATTGCCCGAGCGGGGGAGGGGTTGGGCGGTATGCCTCGGCTGAATGTGTGAATACCGCTCCTGCAACTCGTAACGCCAGCAGTGGAATAATCATTCTGCCTCATAGTGCTTTTTTCATTGGGGCCTGTTCTCACGTTCAGTTGCCGAGGGCGCGCGACTTCTGCAGAATCCTTTCATTTAAACTGGTCACTGCACGTATCGGCCAATTTTAATGAAAAGCTTTGCGGTGTTTGCAGTGATAGGCGAACATGCTGTTTGTGGTTGTTGAAGCTGGAATGACCTATTTAAAAGCGAGAGCCGCTGTTTGGGATGAGCAACCCAGAGGGGCGCTAAGTGGCCACAAGGGAAGAGCCGTGCATTCAGGATAGAAGCAGGTGTGAATCGGGCCCTTTTGATTAGCTACCAAGTGTTCATATTTCTCATGTTCTAATATTTGCCATGGGACATAATTCTGCTAGTTGGATGGTGCTGTCTTTCGCATGTTGGTGGGATGGGGAGCAGAAATACATTTTCTGCACACCTCTCAAACTCTAAATGTTAAACCAGAAAAGGCTAGGCTAAAATCTATGGAAAGCAAAAACAACACACCTTGCCAAATGGATGAATGTTGAAGAGCGTCTCCCACCAGGACAAGACTAGGTGGACCTTCTCGAGGTCACTTAATAGGCTTTGAAGGGAAATAGGCTGATTAAAGAATAACCAAATAAAATGGGGTTACTTGGACACAGGAAAAATTAACTGCAATTGTGAAGAAATTCAGTTAATACAGCATTTATGTGTATGAAATTTATGTCTCATCAGTTGTACAAAAGATCTAGCAAATGACTGAGCTAACACTATTGTAGTAATAACTAGAAGCCAACACAGATTTGTCAAGAACAAATCCTGCCAGACTAACCTCTCTGATAGAAGGAATGCTATAGACATATCTTGACTTAAGCAATGCTTTTGACAAAGTGCCCCATATTCTGATTAGCAAGCTAACTGGGTGTGGGCTGGATAAAATAACTGTCATACCCAGTTAGCTACAGAATCCTACTCAGAGGGTGATGATTACAGTGGGGTCTCTACTTAAGAACTTAATCTGTATTGGAAGGCGGTTCTCAAGTCGAAAAGTTCTTATGTCGAATCTGCATTTCCCATAGGAATGCATTGAAAACCATTTAATCCATATCTGCTCTTTTCCGTCCATAGAAACTACAGTGGAACCTCTACTTAAGAACTTGATCCGTATTGGAATGGTGTTCTTAAGTTGAAACGTTCTTACGTTGAAGCAAAATTTCCCATAGGAATGCATTGAAAACTGATTAATCCGTTCCGGCTGTTTTTTGTCCTTATGTACAGGCACGTTTGTACACTGAAGCATTAATTCCCATAGGCACTAATGCAAAGCCGGTTAATCCGTACTCTACCACTAGGGGGAGATTTTTTTTAATCTAAGAGATCTGCCTAAAATGACCTAAGGTTAAAAAAAGGGCAGGAAAGTTTTTTTTCCCCATTCTTATCTTGGAGCTCCGTTCTCAAGTAGAAGCAAAATTTAGTGAACGGAGCTGTTCTTAAGTTGGATTGTTCTTAAGTAGGGACGTTCTTAAGTAGAGGTTCCACTGTAATGGGTCCTTCTCCAACTGGGTGGAGGTAACAAGTGGGGTACTTCAGGGCTCAGTCCTGAGCTGTGTGCTCCTCAAAAATTTTATTAATGACCTGGATTATTACATACAGGGAATGCCAATCAAATTTGCAGATGACATAAAATTGGGTGCAATAGCTAACACCCTGGAAGACAGAAACAAAATTCTAAATGATCTAGATAGGCTTGAGCACTGGGCTGAAAACAACAGAATGAAATTCAACACAGATACTGTAAGTACAAAGTACTGCACCTAGGAAAAAGAAACCAAACACACAGTCACAAGATGGGGTATACTCGGCTCAGCACTACTATGAGCGAGAAGGATATTGAAATTGTAGATAACGATGAATATGAGCCAACAGTGTGAGGCAGCTACAAAAGAAGCAAATGCTATTTTAGGTCTCATTAACAAATATATAGTTTCCAAATCCTGCAAGATACTTGTTCCCCTCTATTCAGACTGGTTAGTGCTCATTTTGGAGTACCTTGTTCAGTTCTGGACACCACAATTCAAGAAGGATGCTGACAAACTGGAACAAGTTCAGAGGAGGGCAATAAGGATGATCAGAGGGCAGGAAACCAAACCTTATGAGGAAAGGCTGAAATAACTGGCCATATTTAGCTTTGAGAAAATAAGACTGAGGGAAGATATGATAGCGCTTTTCAGACAGGCTGCCATACAGAGGAGCGGCAGGATCTGTTCTTGATCATCCCAGAGTGCAGGACACGCAAAAATAGACTCAAGTTACAGGAAATCAGATTTAAACTGAATATCAGGGAAAAACATCTTAACTTTTAGAGCAGTACAACAGTGGAACCAATTATCTTGTGAGGTCGTGAGTGCTCCAACACTGAAGACATTCAAGAGAAACTTAGACAACCACCAGGCGGATATCCTTTGATTTGTATTCCTGCATCGAGCAGGAGGTTGGACTTGATGGCCTTATAGGCTGCTTCCAACTTCATTATGATTCTATGAAGCAGCCCACTTCTGGTCAAAAATAGTCTAATTATTTTAATATGTTTAACAGTTGTACCTATATTTCATATCTGTCCATAATTTTAAATTGTGCAATGCTCTGATACAAAGAAAGAAAGACTTATGGAAAGATGATACAAGATTTGGCAAGTGATATGGGGACCACTATGGGAATGTCTTCTGTGGCTCTAGGCAGCTTACTGTTTGTCATAAACTGTCTGTGGCAGCTACACACCATGGTAATAGATAGACCTTAACTGCATTCTCTCTTCTCATAGTAGCTCTGTATTGGCTTAAATATGTTTCTGTTTCTCTTTGGCTTGCATGATGGTCAGCTATGGAACAATTGCAGGCAGGGTGCTGTGCTTTGTTCTACACTGATAGTGCCAGTGTTTTTATCATGCTTCTTGCAATGCCTGCTCTGTAGGAAATGAAGACATGGCGACACAGGATACCCTTCCATCTGAAGAGCTATTTTCAGACCCCACTATTTAAATTAGACATGAGTTCTATCTAAATGTGGGAGAGCAGACTAGTTCAGGCCCCTCACTGAGCCCTCTTTCAGACGGTGATGCTGGTAGCTCCCTAGCGGTGCATCAGAGATCTGTGGGGGAGGCCAATTAAAATGTATCTGGTTGAAATGGAAAGCCTGAGTTTCATTTCTGCTTTCTGCTGTGGCGCACATGCGCTGCTGTAGTGGCCCCTTGGGGAACATGTGTGCTGTTGGAGTTGTTGCATTCCAGACTTACAAGGAAATCTCCATCTGAAATTCTTTCTGGAGGTTCAGCTCATGATTCACTTATGGAATTTCTCGTCTGCATAGATGTGTGTGTGCGGTTGGGCAGAGATAAACACCAGACCTGCAAAGTACAAGACAGAGAGCATGTCCAGCTGTGAGGCTCTTGCCAAGCAAGAAGGCTAGAGGGACTGCAAATAAGAGATGGCTGGGAAAGAGGATGTATTTCTGGGAAGAAGGAAGACATTTCCAGAGAACATTTTTGATATTTCATCCAAATGAATTGGTTCTGTCCTTGGTTGTTATGAAGACATTTATCCGTATGCATAAGAGTCTGTGGTAAATGTGGCAATTGGCAGAGGAGGCCACAGTGTCTCTACAATCCTTTCCAACATTTTGTTATCCCAGACTGTGATGGCAAATGAATGAAGTTATTCCTCCTCCTCCTCCTCCTCCTCCTGTTTTTTCTTAAGGTGCAGGGAAGAATCCTGTTGACTATTCACACCAACGTAATTGCAGTGGCATAAATCGCAGTAGGGAATTGCCACCAATTAATGAATCGCTGCTCGTGTTTCTTGTTGCAAAACAATTGTGTGGCTTGATGGGAGATGAGGAATACAAACAGCATCTTGTTAAGTACAGTAGTAGCAGTTTGCTACTGCAGTTTAAATCATTGCACTTATGCTGGCTTGAATAACCAATAGGCTTCTGGTCAACATTTCTACAGTATATTCTACACAAAGTCCTACTGTACTATCTCGAGTGGAGGAACAGTAATCATGCTGGATTCTATCAAACTGATAGGACTTCAAGTATGACCTTGGAGGGATTTTGTGTGCCTGCCGTCCAGGGTCCACCCTTTGGAGAGAGAGGCTCATTCCCATAAAGCTATTCACCAGATGATGAACTGACCAAAGCAACTCTTGACATGACAGCATTGTGGAGTAGTTACAGTCTTCATTAGTGGCAGGATCGTCCACATAGATGAAATCAGAGGTTTTCAATGGATTTCTGTGCGTGTGGCACTTTGTGGAATCATATAATCAGGCAGATCTTTGTTTTGGGAGACTTTCTAAACATTCTGGATGCATTGAAAAGGAATTTAAACCACCCCATCCCTTTTTTTTTTTTTTTTTTTGGTCTGGAGGAGCCTGATTATGACAACCCTGGAAGCCCTGTGCCACGTGCTGGATGGAAACAGTAGCTGAATATCAAACCATGAAGGGTTCACTCAGGAAGAAAAGGCAAAACACTTCTGCAGAATAATCTAAAAAACGGTGAAAATCAGGGTCTTCCTTACAAGTGAAATATTGAGAAGATTT